AGAAAGTGATTTTAATAGAGCTGTATCCTGAATAGGACGATACAAACCCCCATGTCATCTGAAGAGGGTGGGCAAAGAAGGCAGCAATTGCTCAGTTAAATGCTAAGTGCTGTTAGCATCCCCTCAGAGGAAGAACATTATTATTTTGCTGTATACTGTGTTGTGTGTGTGTATTTGCCTTTCAAGAAGGCATTTTTTGACTGAGGCATTTGTTGATAGGAGATTTTAAAACTGATTTCATTGGAGAAATGAAATAGATGCTCTCTTATTGGTTTTCAGATAGTGGCAGAATAGTGTCAATAGCATGAATAATGAAATGAACGTGCGTGGGATTTGTTTAAATCTGGGCAAATTATTTGAATTCTCTGCATCAATTTCAGGCCTTTTTTTTTTTTTTTTTCTCTAACATGGGTATAGCAATGTCTAATCATGAAGGCCGTCATAGATGTTAAATGAGGTGAGCTATTTAAAGCACCTGGCACTTAGGAGCTAGTAATATATATTTATTTTCTTCTCTTCCTATCACCACATCTTCAGTAAGGGAAAGTCAGCATTCCCTGAGCCAAAACAGTGGTTTTTCAAATTATCTTCTGATTTTTTTTTTTTCCTTTTCTTTGTGTGAAATACTTGAGTGGGGATTAGGAGGGAGAGTTTCTTGAAAAGTGATCTTATTGCATAGAGTGCAAGGAAGTACTTTCTGATGCTTCTTATTCTAAAAGTGAAGATAAATTGGTTTTTTAGTGGATAAGGAAGAGAGAAAGATGTAGAGAGTTGTTTGGATGGAGGAAAGAATAGGTGGAATAATGGAATTAGTGGCATTGTGTCTTCAGAATACAAAACAAACCCCCATCACATCAGTTGCTCTTTTTACTCAGCTAAATTTAATTCAAGAGAAACAAAACTGCGGTTAAGGAGTGGGAAGGGTGTAAGCACCCAATGCAGAAAGCCTCTACTCTTTACTACTCTTTATTCGGTTTTGAATAAAATTAAACAGGAAAGACTTTAGACCTGTGAAGTTGCCAAAAATGCAGTGGTCACTGGATTCTTGACAACTGAATTGCAGGAATCATGTGGTACGTGAAACGCCTGGAAAGAATCATTCTACTAAGGAGCAAATGGCAGATTTGCTGGATTTCAATAATATGAGAAGGTGTCAGATACAAGCTTAGTTCTTATGGTTACATTAGGATGGCTTCTGTGTGAGGCTTCAATGTGGTCCTAGTTAGTAGTTACCCCTATTTATAAAGATCGATACAAGAAAACCCTAGAATCACAGAACTGAAAGGGGCTTGAGAAATTAAGAATATTTTAAATGAAGAAACTGAGGTTCAGGGACCTAAAGTGACTTCACCAAAGTTATGTAGGAAGTTAGTGTCAGAACCTAAGCCAAGACCTGAGCTTCTGAAATCCTAGGCTGAATGCTAATAGTAGGAACATCTTTTCTGTAAAAATCTAATGTGGGGCCTCCCCTGGTGGCGCAGCAGTTGAGCTCTGGGTTGCGAGGCTGCCCGCAGCCTCTGCAGCACCAGTTTGATCCCCGGCTACCGGCGAGGGTCCCACCAAAAAAAAAAAAATCTAATGTGGGCTTCTAGCCAGTTAGCATTATTTAGTCATGGACATCAATATATTATAGAAAGAAGGGAGTGGGGAGAGAGAGAATAATGAACAACTCTTACCCTTATACTATATTTTGGAAAGAATTTTTGCCTCTGACCCAAACTCCAGCCCAGTTGCTACAAGAGACATAAGAAGAAAGAACTGAGGTATTCAAACAGTTTTAGCCAAAAGCAAACAAAAAACCCTATCTTACTTTGTAATAGTTCCCATTTCTCTGGATAGAGACAGGTGAAAGGTAATTCAAAGGAAAGAAGAAGAAAGTAAAAGGTCTAATAATACAAGTGATTTCTACTTAGGTGCTTCATGACTATTTACTGATACATTTACATGAATAGATCACTGAAAAGATGATATAACCTTCAGCAGTTGCTAACTTAAAAAGATTTTATGTATTTGATTAATTGCACATAAGAATAGCACATTGATTATTCACTATACATGATACCAACAAGTATATGACTTGAAGTATGGTTAAAAAAAAGTCTATCTAAAGTACCTATAAAGAAAATCTTCCTACTACTAAAAATATCTACATAGTTATCAGCATTTTTTGTGTAATAATGTAGTTAAAAAAAATTTTCTATAATCAACATCTAAAATTTGAGCTATTTCTCTTAACACATAAAACTCCTTTATCTGTGTCTATTGATATGCAGTATTTCTATATATTTGAGTGCTCTGAACCTGCTGGCTCCTTGTTCTCATTATTTTTTAAAGTCTTCACCAGCAAGGGAGCAGGAGACATTAGCACAGGTGAATTTATATCAGTTTTGCTAGTTGTGAGCTACGGTGATTGTCCCTTGTTTTTTGGATTTTATAAAGAGAGATAGAGATAGAATAAGGGTGAGGTAGAAACACAAGAATAAAGATTTAGGGTTATGAAATGTATCTGATCAATCTCCCTTTCCCCATTTCTCAGATGAAAATTGATATTTATATCATGATAAGAACTTATATGGATTTTTCAATCCACTTAACTAAGTACTTAGTGGTAGTGTGTGTAATGTTTAAGAGATGGGTGTCAGTTTGGACTTAACAGTGACTTTAGCCATTAATTAAATTTTCATTTGCTCATACTTAAAGTTGGAATAAGTTATATTATTGTGAGATAATGTATATAGTGTGTTACAGTATGTGGCATGTAATGAGTTCTCAAATATCTACTTATTTTGTTATTGATGAGAAAACATAGTTCCTCTTTTTGTATATAATCAAATATTGTTATGAATATTCTTAAGCATTTCTGCTTTAGAGAGTTGTACTTCTCCCTACTTCCCATCCTTTTAAAGAGAAAAACCTAGTTAAGCATATGCAAATACAGATCTTGAAATGGACACTTATTCTTGCTCAAATTGCTTCTTCTTGCTAAGGAGATTCTTTTTTTTTCCTTCAAAACATTTTCTCCCTGAACTATTTCCTTTTGATATAAACTTGAAAATCAGATCTTAAAGAACGTTTGTGTATTATAAAAGTAAACCTGAAATTCAAAATTTTGAAATTGAAATTTCAGGTTTTGTCTAATGCCTGTTGAGAGTATAAATCTTCAACTAACAAGAAGCCACCTGGTCCAAACCCTAACATTCTGTCTGTTTCTGAGGCTACATTTTCTCTGTTAGGAACTCCTGCCATGTGCTTCTTTGTGCTCACACTACTGTCAGATGAACCTGCTTATCTGGACTCAGCTTCCCTGGCTCTCCACAGGTCATCTTCTTCACACCTGTTCTCCTCTTCAGTGATTTCTGGTTGCCCTTTACTCTTCAGAATCACTACCCAGCGTTGTTTCTAAGAAGCTGTTTGTGTTAGATATACTGGGTTTGTTATTACAGCGGGTAGAGGAAATTTCCCCCTACTCCTCTTGCGGCTCTTGTTGGGCTAGTCAAGCAATCAAATTAACGTCAGTGGATTATTTAGGAAAAGAACACATTTGATTTTACATGTATGGGGAATGTACATGAATGCAAATTCTAAAGTAAAAAATTGGGGCAACACAACAAGGGTTTGTCCTAGACTAGGGAATTGGATAGGAGCTTGGGGCTTAAGGAAAGAGGAAGAAAACTTGACATTGAAAAAACAGATGCTCTGTAATTACAAGTGATCAAAAAAATTTCTCGTGAGCTCAATTCAAAATAATCCACTGGCAAAGTCTTGGGAAGGCCTGTTCTGAACTTCTTGGGGAATATTGTCCTTCACCTGAACATGATTGGGGTGCCTGCTCCCTTTTATATGAACACTAGATTAAGAAGTATGTAATAACCCCAGCGCCTTTCAGACTCCAATGTATTACTTGAGGAAGCAAGTGAATCTTTGTCTTTCATGGACTATTCAACTCATTAACAGCTCTTTGTGTAATGGCCTTTTAGTTTGTATTTTCTCCTAGTTCTTGAATCTTTCATTGTTTACTTTTAAAAATCCTGCCCTGTAACATCTAGTAATAAATGTGGAGTAAAAAAGCACTGTGTTGCTTTCCATAAGAGTGCTGTAATTTATCACAAAACCTCTAAATCAAAAATCATGATGATGTACTCTAAACAAAAGGCAGAAAGAGCCCATGTGTGAGGCAGCTGTGGTAAAAACAAAGAGCACTGGCATAAGGGAAATGGAGAGTTAGTTTCAATTTTGAACTTGCAGCTTGCTTGCTGTCTGATCTTGGCTAAAACTCATAGTCTGACTAATCTTAAATTGCTCTATATGTTTGTGAGAAGGAGGCAGGATGTTGCTTCTGGCCTCCCTAGTGGTGCAAGGGATTAAGCACCGCACTGTGAGGCAGTCCACAGCCTCTGCAGCAAGAGTTTGATCCCCAGCTGGCCAGGGAGAAACCCACATGGCGAGGCAGACCTGCTGCTCCCCTCAGCAGTGTATTTCAGTCAGTCTGCCTGTTCTTTTCCCCACTCTGTCTCTGGTGGATCCTCTCACCCCTCACATCTCTGGCCTGTACCCCAGCTCTTGTATGCATAAATAAATAAATCTTTTAAAAAATAAAAATTATAAAGTGGAGGGAGAAGGATAATAAAGGGTAATGTTAGTTAAATATATCCTCATTCCTTATTGCTTAGTCAAAAGATATTATCTAAAGCTTATGAACTTAGCACTGTAGTTATGTTATTTAGAGTTGTGAATGTAAATTATCAGAAGAGTTAAAACAATGCCTAAAATGGTGACCTTTGAGATCAGTACTGAAGATATACATATAGAGGCTAGGACTCAACTGTTTTTATTACACAATGCTCTGACATTGCACTAATATTTCTATTACATAGATTTTGTGTTGATACAAGAATTTTTTTAAAAAATACAAACAAGAGCAAAAATAAATTAAAAAAAACAAGGATGTAACCTATCTACTCCCTATCCCTCCCCCCCAAATATACTGTAAATCTTCATACCTGGAGGTCAGACATCTTGCTGCGCCGTCATTTCTGCTCTCAACTGCTTTCAAATTTTCTATGTCTCTGCTCCTTTGTATTTGGGGAGTATTTTTGCTTCCCAGACTAGGATCAGCCTTTGTCACACTGTGGTTTATATCATCACTGGAAATTCTTAATTAACTTGTTCACTGAAATATCAAGAGAATACATTTGTATGCAACAAAACATACATACAAAATATGTATAATGCAAATGTATGTTAGACAGTGAAATAGTATATTTGCTGCTTAGAAAATGACTTGCTTTATGCCAGAATTTTATAGCAAGATTCCACCATAAAAATCATGGGAGAAGAATGTGATTGTCCCAAATATTAGAAATTTTATGGAAGTTCTGTTTTATTTCCTGTATGTTTCTACTATGTTTACCTAAATTTTTATTAAATTAGCATTTTTTTTTCTGTAAAAGAGGCAATGGTAGTGTACAAGTTTAGCTTGAGGGTGACCAAATTGTAACCAAATTATTCCTAAAATATTTATGTTAACAGTGATAAAGGTACCCAAATATTGAAGCTATTAGAGTATTAGAGATTTCAGTATCAACTCTGCTACTTTCTGATTATTTAGCATGGGCCATTTTACGCAAATATTTCTTAGTTCCAGGTGTGAAAATTAACTTGGTGCTTGTCTCATAGACTATTTAGGAGGGTTCAGTAAGATTATAAGTAAAGCACCTAGCACAGGGCCTGACACATAGAAAACACTAAATAGCTTTTGTTTTTTATTATTTTTATCCTGGGAAACCATTACTGTGTATTGGACACTATAGTGCATTTCACATACTCATATCTACATCATCAGGAACTCCCCAATAGGATCACCCCAGGTTATATTGCCCTATAAATGGCATTTTTTTCATGGAGGGCAATGGCAATTTTTGGCCCCAAGGCCCACCTAGCTTTGCTGAAACATGTCCCTTCATCAGCTTGTTAGTACCAGGAATAAGCAAGCTTGTTCTAAAGCTCCCAGGAGAGAACTGGTCAACAAAAGTGTTCTTTCTTCTGTTAAGCTGCTGCTGGGTGGTCAGTGACTACATCAACAAACAGGGATTCAGTCACCCACTTCCTCTCCAAATTGAGGCCACAGAGCAGTGAACAACAGTTTCTGGCTACCAGCCATCTCCTTAGTAAGGTTCCCCAATTCATTGGCAGAGTTTCCAAGGCACCTTACTGTTCTGTACAACTTGTTCCTGAACCAGAAGATGGCAGACAGGAGGCCAGTGAGTGATGGTGTATATGGAGATATGCCTTCCCTTTCAGACTGATTTCACGCTGTGCTCGTACTTGGGCAACACATACCTGGCTTGACTCATGCAACTCATCTTAAAGCTCACTCCTTCCTCTATTTGGCCCCTCCATGAGGACCAAGAGAGTCTTTCTTTTCAGATTGTGAGTCACATTCTTTAACCAAAATGGTGGGGGGGGGGTCTTTTCCTTCTGATGGCATGCTAACTCATGACACAATCACAGAGTCAGAGAAGTTCCCATCATTGCCCATCCCTCCTAGACATAAAGAGAAAGATAATTCAACAAGAATAGAATGAGAATAAAATTGAATGAAGTTCCTTCAGTGGTCACCCTTTGGTTACAGTCGCTCAGCCTTAGCACTGTGGTCATTTTCAACTACATAATTCTTTATTGTGGGGGCTGTCCTATGCATTATAAGATGTTTGGCAAATTCTTGATTGCTATCCACTGTCGACTGTAGGAACACACCCTCTCCCCAACAAAACTGGCTGTAGACTGTGGCCAGTATCAGGGAGGGGGAGAGGGAGAGGAAGACCAAAAATGAGAACCTCAGTTACAAGATACTTAAAGACATTTTTCCATTCCTAAAATCTCCGCTGGTTTCTCCTAACTGATTAGGAGAATCTCTTATGTATCACTGTTGAAATTTCCCTACTACAATGACTATCTTCTAGAAAGTCTTATTCTTTTTTTCCTACAAGTGTTTAATCTAGTCTTTAAAGTGATTTCCTCATCCAAAGACATCAGTTAGTGGAGAAGACACCAAACTATCATCAGAAGACTGACTTTTGTCCCAACACTGCCATCATTAGCCTTGACCTTGAACTTATCCACTAGCTACTCTAAACTCTAGTTTTCCCATCTGCCAAAGATGTTGCGATATGAGAGAAGTGAAATGTGGTAGAAGTGAATTCTAATATTATTCTCCAATAGATTGAACCAGAGCTCTTTGGAAATGTCTGACTCGATGACCAGGAAGGCAGTACACAAGATGAGCTTGGAGCACCCAGGGTGCCAGAAAGTAGGGAAGTGCTCAAAAATAAATAAAAACAAAAACAACATAATGATGGGGTATGTCAAAGGAATACAGGAATCAAATATCAAATAATACAGCTTGCAATGACCAAAGCTAAAACAATTTGAGAACAAAATAAGTAGTACTAGGTTATAACCCAGAGACCCAAAGTATAAAATAAATATTAGTGAGTCATATTGATATAAATAAATGATTGAACAAATAAACAGGGAGACTACACTCCTATGAAGAATTCCAAATAATTTATGCAAACACTTTGCCATCAAGAAGGTGGAAAATAACTCCCCACTCCTTAATTATGGTTGCACATAGTAACTTCCAAAGAGTACAGAATGAGAAGGAGGGGTGAAGACTAACTCCAAAGGGAAAGACCTGACAAGCGCATCAGCCAGGTGATCAAGGTCAAATTCAACAGTGATACGTTATGTTATGTTGATGGTGTGTACCGTTGATATGATAAGCTGGGAATGGCTCTTTACCTTTATATGCTTCTTCCTAAAAACCCATAAACCCATCTGCCCATTAAAAAAATAGAAAGATCAGACATATCTCAAGTAAGAGACAGTCTACAAAATACCTGACTAGTAAATACGCTGAGAAATGATCAAAGTCATCAAAAACAAGGAATAGATGAGAAACAGCCTAAGGACATAGAGTGTAATATGGAATCCTGGATGGGAACCTGGAATAGAAAATGGCTATTAGGTAAAAAATAGGGAAAGATGAGCAAAGTGTGGAATTTAGTTAATGAGATACCAACATTGGTTCATTAATTGTGACAAATGGGGCCTTCCTGGTGGCACAGTGGTTGAGTGCTGGGTTGCGAAGCTGCCCACAGCTTCTACAGCGCTGGTTCGATCCCCAGCCACTGGGCGAGGGTCCCACATGGCGCGCAGACCTCTCCTGCCGCCTGCTGCTCCCCTCAGCAGTGTACTTCGTCATTCTGCCTGTTCTGCTCCCCGCTCTGGCTTTGGTGAATTCTCTCACCCTCCCTTGCTTCTGACTGTACCCAGTGCTTGGATGGATAAATAAATAAATAAATAAATAAATAAATAAATAAATAAATAAATAAATAAAAATTGTGGCAAATGTGTGGTGGTGATGTAAGATGTTACAGTAGAGGAAATTAAGTGTGAGGTATAAGGAATTCTCTACTATTTTTGTGATTTACCTATAAATCTAAAATTACTGTAGTGTTGTTTTATTTAAAAATACCTGAAGACACTATCATAAGTATTATTTTATCTTGAAGGATATCATCAGGCCTAGCATATAACGTCCTAAGTTTTAAGTCTATTCATGGAGTCCTTCCCCAACCTGGTTCTTAAGGTAATGTTCTGTGCCCTTATCAGTCATTTCATCTTTCTTCTTGCAAGCCTGGAGCAGTTTTAGGTTTCCAACTAAAGAGGCTGGCATGTGTGTCACAAAATAGGTCCTTACCTTGCTGGCACAAACCCTGTAGCAGATCATGGTTTACTTTTTCCTAAAGGAGGTCCACATTGCTCCCTTCTTCCCCCACCTAGTCAGAGATAAGTGTCTTTACAGTTTACAGGTCTTTTCTTCTAACCAAGATCTGGAAGTTTCCTATTTGATTGTTACACACCCAGGGGAATGGAAAAAAAAAGTGGGAGGTACTAAGGCCATACCCCTACACAATTCTTGAGTACAGTACAGACCTGCCCAGCAGGTAATGCAGTAAAGGTGTGCAGAGAGAAATAGAAAATGGGGATATCCTTCAGAATGGTAAAACCCTGGAGGGACAATATATCAGAGAGTACTAGTTCCTCCATGACAGCAATGTTCTATCATTTCTTTTCTTTTCTTTTTAAGATTTATTTATTTGTTTATACAAGAATGGGGTATAGGCCAGATGCACGGGAGGGTGAGAAGATTCACCAGAGACAGAGTGGGGAACAGAACAGGCAGACTGACAAAATATACTGCTGAGGGAAGCAGCGGGTATGACAGGAGAGGTTTGCCACGCCATGTGGGACTGTCGCCCACCCACCGGCTGGGATCAAAGCGGCGCTGCAGAGGTTGTAGACAGCTTCAGAGCGCGACGCTCAACTGCCTGCGCCACCAGGGGAGGTCCGTGTTCTATCATTTCTTAATGAGAAAGAATTGTCCAGTCAAGGCTTTCTAAAATGATCAGTCACCTCTGGAGTCACATCAGTAATGCTTTTCCATTCTGAGCTCCTCAAATCTACTGATAGCAGAAGTGGTGTTTGATATAACAATAATGATGTAAGCATGTGCTTACCACTGTCCACAGTACTGTCATCATGTAGGCTTGCTTTTCATCCGCTTAATCCATGAGGAAGGAAAAGTGACATTTGGCCACCATCTGACAGGTGAGGACACAGACATGCAACTGAAACACAGGTGTGAGGCTTGAACCACCTGATTGTGGGCAGAGTATTTCCCCTGTAGCCCACCGAAGCTTTGGCATGGTTTCATAATTATAATTACTACTCCTACTTTTTAAAATGTTCTATTTCTGACCAAATCATGTTTGCTTGCTATTTTGATACAAATACCACACTTTTTTTTATGCAGCCATGGCTGATAATTTGGGGAATTGTAGACTGAAGTTAACCTCGAGGAGCGCCAGACAATAAGCAATGCAGTGTTCTGTGTCTATGCTGTCTGGTGTGGTAGTCTCCAGCCACATGTGTCCGTCAAGCTCTTGAAATGTGGCCCAGGGTGTTGCAGGAACTGACGTTTACATTTTATTTAGTTTTAGTTAATTTAACTGTAAATAGCCATGTGTGGCTAGTGACCACCATATTGACAGCATTAACCAAGGCAACGTAGGAATTCTCCATTATGACGCAGGCTCCCCTTATATTCCAGCTTCAGCATAGTTTGTGCACGCGTGCCCACTCTTTCAGAGAAAAATGACTTTTTGAGAACTCTTTTTCTCATGCTTAGAATACGTGGAATGTATAAATACTGTCAGAACAAAGTTCCTTCTAAAATTTGACCCAGTTAAATTTAAAACTGAGCGATCTTAAATCAACACTAGAAAATAAAATTTGGAGTTTAGTTTGCCGTACTCTTCCGGGAGAAATGAGGAGAGAGTTGTCCCACATGTTCTTGATTCTACCTTTAAGAGTCTGAGCTTTTGGAAATTATTATTGGCAAAAGTTTTATTTCCTTAGTTCTAAAAACAAAAGACTATTTACTTTTACAGATACAGATCTGTTATTTGATGCCTGCAAAGTTCAGTGACACTCTAAATCAGGATCCAGTGATATTTACAAGCGAGACAAAAATCCAGTCACATGATGTTTCCATTAAGCTAAGAATGAAATTCTAAGATTATGATCTGGGTAAAGGAGAACTGTGGTTTGTAAATTCATAATGCATTGCAGATAAGCATTAACATATTAAAGCAATGGCAGCTGTTTTCATTACTACTGTTGTTAAATTAAGCAAATTCAAAAAGCTCCATGGAAGAAATCAGAAAGAGTGACAGCTCTTAATTACCTAACAATACCTTGACAAGAAAATCTCAGGAAGTGAGGAGGAAGATACAAAGGTAACATACATTACTAAGGGTAATACAGAAATGCAAAAAAAAACAACAACAACAGTGGGAATAACATAACAAATTTTTTTCCAACATGGCGTTTGACTTATTACAAAGGCTTTTTTAAATTAAGTTTATTTGACAACTATCTCCAACAGGTCATAATTAAACAACACTTGTTATGTGGGGAGACAATATAGTAAACTTAGTCTAGAATGTTATTTAATGCAAATTTGAGCAAACTAAATTACCAAATGCTTGCTTTTCTCTCCTGAAGTCTTATTATGTTGTATCATAGATTCTCTTTAGATTGACACTTTCATTTTTTGATTTAGCATTTGACTTCTTAGATGTATTTTATGGTCATGAAAATGTAAGAGTTATTTGTAATTACTGTTGCTACTGTTAAGTTTGGACATATTTTCAGCTAATAAAGCATTGCTGGTCTCTCAGAAACCCCTCTTCATGCTGCCATACAACCAATGTTCTTTGCCTAGAGGGATACCTAATACCATAGATTAGTTTTGTCTTACTTTTTTCGTTATATGAGTGGAATTAGCTGATAGATATTTTCTTATGCCTGCCGTCTTTTCAACACTATGTTTCTGTGATTCATCCTAGTTGTTGAATATAACAGTAATTCATTCATTTTCATACTGTACAGTATGCTACTATATTATTATACCACAATTTATTCATTCTGTAGTTGATAGATACTCAAGTTAATTTAAATTGGGGATTTAAAAAATCCCCATTTACAAGAAATGCTTATTGAGCATCATTTACCTGTATTTTGTGTACCAATTTAAATCTTCCCCTTAGATCTGTATCTGGAAGGGAAATTGCTGCATTATAGGATAAAGCATTTGTATGGTATAGGAGAGTTCCAGATACTTTACATTCTCAATATCCTTACCAATACTTGAAATTGTCATGAATTTTGGTTTTTTGGCCACTTGTTATCTGTAATGATAATCATAATTAGTTTAAATAATAATGTAGTTAAACTGGCCAGTGAAGACTAGGCAGGTGAACAGTTTTAGATCACAGACATAAACACACACCCACACAGTGATCATCATTTGTATCTTCCAAAAAGTCACCCAGTTCATTTTTTGGCAAATATAATTTGCAATTTGGTCCTGCAGTGAAACAGTTGGGTCAGGGAGAGAATGATGCACGTCTATGAACCTGAAGGCTTGTGGTGGGGTAAGAAATATTTGAGTTAATAATACTGGAATTTGCCAAGTGCTGTCAGAGTGTGTTTTGTTTTATAATTAAGCAATGTGACATAAATCACCCTCAGTTTATCCAATTGAATTCAACATTTTTTTATGTGTGAGTTCTTAATTCCCAACCTAGTATGTGGTGGAAAGATAAAATAAAAAAATAAATAAAAATTGGCAATTAAAAAAAATACAAAATGATGCTTTCCTTTATTAGTAGCCAGGGAGTACAAGGTAAAATAATGAGATGCCTATTTTTCAGTACACATATACATGCTGCTAAAATGTTGCAACCATTCTAGAATGAAATGCTGTATGTCTATTAAAATTAGAAATGAGTCTCCCTGGTGGCCTAAGGGTTAGTTTCAGCGCTATCACCGCTTTGGCCAGAGTTCAATCCCTGGCCAGGGAGCTAACCCACATATGGCACAACAGACCTCTCCTGTCCTGCCCACTACACCCCTTAGCAGTTTTTCAGTAAATCTGCCTGTTCTGCTCCCCACTCTGTCTGTGGTGAATCCTCTTACCCCCTGTACCTCTGGCCTACACCCCAGTTTTTCTATGAATAAGTAAATAAAAAAAATCTTTAAAATAAACTAATTAAATTAGAACTATCTTTTATATGAGACCCAACAATCTCATTTGCAGGTATACACCCTAAAGAAATACTCTCATGTTCACAAGTAGTCATGCACAGTGATGTTTACACAGAATTTTTAATAATAAAAAACTCATCAATAAAGATTGGCATAGTCATCTGTGATATTCTTATACTGGATCATTATGCTGTGGTAGAATAAAATGAAATATCTCTAGAATATGAGCTCTGTGAGAGCTGGAACTTTGCCTTTGTCTGGTCCTGTGTCTGTAGCAATTAGAACAATGCATGGCATTTAAGTAGATGTTCAGTAATTATTAGTTCAATGCATCTGCAATTGGTAAATCTCTAAATTATGTTTATGAATTATAATTACAAAAAAACCAATTGCAGAAAATTTGTACTATAAAATACATGTGCATATCTATAAGTCCATAAAAACTTTTTGGAAAGATACATACCAAAATGTAAAAATGTGTCTGTCTGTCTATCTACAATAATGTGTTTGGAAAGAGATACACCATAAGGATAACAACTGTGCTTAAAGTAAAAGGAAGGCACCAGAATTTGGGAATAGCATCTAAAGAAGACTTAAGACTCTCCTGCAATACTTATCTTTGGTAAAGAATGGTATTTTTGTGTATTACTTGGGTGATTACAGGTAATTATTTTCACAAAATGAGCCCATCATGGCAGAACAAATTTATTAATTTCTAAAAAGTTCATTGTAAGACATCCAGTTTGAAGTCATTCACTTAGCTTATTTGGTAGTGAAGTGATGTCCCACTGGCATAGTCAGGAATGTATATCAGTTCTTTCCAGCTTCTAAATTCTGTTAGTAATAACATTTAAGCAGAGACTGAAAAACAATGTCATAAACTGGTTTGTAAATGGAATACTTTGGTATATAAAATTGATGAAAATAATGGCATCCAATGGGAATATACCTTCACCAATTTCTCAATTATAAGATGTCAAAATGACATTTTATTATGGGAAGTTAACATCCTTATTAAATGGCAAGTTGAAACTTACTGGGTGTGAGGCGCTCCTTCCTCTGGAGCCCCGCAGGCTATGTGGAGCCTAGAGTCTTGCTGGATCTCCTTTCCCAAAGGGAATTCCTTGAATGTGTTGGAAAAAATTGAAAAAAACAAAAACTGTCTAGAACTTCTGCATGTTTGCTGAAGAATAGCCAGCTTCTGTGTATTTCCACCTTTATTCTGATTTTGTATTAGAAGAATACATTAAAAACTATTTTTGCTTATTGAATTCACCTGTCTTTACCAAAAAGCTTTCAAATTCCTTATTAAAGGAGATAAAATAATAAAGTAGAAGTCGACAGTAAGGAATATGGGATGAAAAGGGCAAAGTTGTTTTTTAAATATGTATTGAAAGTAAATGCCACCTTGATGAGGGAAGACTTGCATTTTGGACCCAGACAGGCAATTCCATGAGGCTATGTAGCCCATAGCATTTCACAGTTAAAGTCCTTAAGTCAGGCTAGCTAGCAGAGTACCAAGCACTGTGCTAAATATTTCTCATATGTTATTACATGTAAGCCACACAGTAACCTGGGGAAGATTAGATATTTATCTTCATTCCACAGATAAACCAACAAAGTGTCTGAATGGCTAAGACATTTACCCAAGTATATTATACAACTGTGATTTGAATCGGAGCTGTCAGATTTGGATCCATGCCACCCACTAACACCCAGACCACACCCTGTGGTGTGTTTACCTATGTGTGTCTATCCCAGGAGAGATTGCTCTGTCCTTTGGAGCTTTTTCAGTAGGAAAGGAATAGCTCCTCTCCTAATAGCAATCCATTAGTCAGTGAGCTCATCTGCAAATCATGAATTCCTTTCTCCCTCACTACGCTACTGTGTAATGATTTAATTGCTGGCATAAGGCATTAAACTCATTTTTGAATGGGAGTTCATATCTGGAAGGAAAGCCTTGTCATAGTTTTCAGATAAACTGTCATTGGTCATCTAGGAGGTCTGGTGCAATTTTTTTCTCACATTTTCCACAATAGTACACATAGTTCATTTAGTGTTTATTGCCAAGATTGTGACTAAAATATTTGTGAGTAAACTAACTCTGTGAGTAAAATATTTGTCTCATTGAATAGAATTTTGACTGCTCCTTCCTGGTTATTTAGTAAT